TTTGCTAAAGGTGTCTGAGTACACAGTGTAACAGCTAACCCTGCAGTACGGAGGCTGTACTTTAGCCCAGCTAGCACTCACTGTGAGCTTGTCAGATGCTTCAAAATGGTGCTACTTTGTCAGCAACGAGACGGTGATTAAAGTCATATAAGGTTGAATTTTGTGATTTACACAAACAGCTCAGTAACCAAAAAAAACTTGTGTTGGAAAAAAATAACTTATCTGCCCTGAAAACACTCTTTGGCTCAGATCTCTTTAAAACGCTGATGAATCTCTCTGAATTTTGGTGGGAAGCTGCGGCTAGGAACTGCGGTAATGTGGCCAGAAGCTCATGCTGCTTGACCTTGTATAACAACGTAAAAAGCCTGTGTTAAATTGTGCCCCGTTAGGTGGTTCCCCACGATCCACTACTTCTAACTATTGCTGAAAAAAACTAACAGACAGGACTTGTATTGTTGTAATGTGTTTTAGCCATTCTCCTGCTAGAAACACCAGCGCAGACCAGCTCAACTGGTCACCAGCAAAGCCAGCATATCACTAACAAAACCTGATATCTCCAAAAAGGTCACTTTACAGGACAAAGAACAATGTTTTTAACTTTTAATGGTAGTTAACAGAGAATTAATTTTTTCTGACTAATCTTGGAGCGTTTCTGTTGATCCATTCATCATGAAATTTTGACACAACATAAAGAGCAACTAGATTTTTCAAATTATATCAAAAAAAAGAAAACGACAAAAATGGATGGTTTTGTCTTAACAGCAGTGATGTGTTGTGGTTTGGACACTAGCGCACTGGTCAAGAGTGGTAGAAGTTAATTTGCTGGTCACCAGCAAAACCAGCATATGTTGTGTTTCAGATGCTGGTATGCTGGTCAACCAGTATGACCACACTGTGGGTGACCAGTTAAACCAGCACCAGACTAGCACTAGAACAGTATAAACCAGATTAGACCAGCATGGAATGCATGCTGATGTATGCTGGCTTTTTCAGCAAGGTCAAATGATGTATTACAATACATTATAATACAATACAGTATGCTTTTCTGAACATATCGTGCGTATCGACAGTATTTGTACTGCACTGACCAACTGCATGTTTCATTATAAAAAGAGCAAAATTAGTTGCATTTAACTGGATTTAGCGCACAACAGTTTGCCAAATATTCAATAAAATCATTGCATTTTTTTGACAGTATTTTTAAATATAGCATTGCTGTTTTTTCTGTTCCAACTGAACTGTATTATTTTTTTTTATATCACCCACCTTTATGATGTATTTAAATCAAGTAGATAAAATTCATCTTTTTCAGTGCACAGCGTTAATATTTCATATACTCAGGCCTTAAAAGTTATTCATTAAGACTGTTGTATGAGTCTAATGATTGGAAAGCCAGCCAGACAGCGCCGTTTAAGGTACAACACATGCGTGTATCCAACTGTTGAAAGAAATTAGCGTGATAAGCAACTATGGCTCGCTAATTTTTGATAGTTATGTCGTCTTATCATCGCCTAGCCTACTTTGTACAATAGGTCACAGAGCAGCACTGCTGAAGGGACTCACATTCATTTACTGATAGCTGTGTACTGAGTAAATCAGCCAATCACAGCAGGTTATGCTCATTATTAAAAGCATTGTCATCATGCTCTTGTAGCTGGCTGGGAACTACACTGAGGCAGATTTTCACCGTAAAACGTAACTGATGCTTTATTGATGAGGGCTGACTGTCTCGCTTTCCATAACTGAGGTGACCAGAAGAGCGGCCATGCTGCATTCCAGGGTGGCACTGGCCACCCCTGGCCACCCCTTGGCTAGGCCTCTGCTAGTAACCAGAAACAATGCCTAACTGCTTCCACCTGCTGTAAACATAATTTAGAGCAAAATAATTAGATGTACTGAAAGCTTTTTCAGAGGTTTTCCTCTGTACAGATCAAACGGTGTAGCTGTTTGGGTTGAAATAACACTAACTGGCAACCGCCAACGAACACAAACCCCAACCAGATTCACTCGCGACAACATAAACTGTTGATTTTGGATGTTTACCTGAGGAAAAGTCCACTGAAGGAACACCCAGTACCCACAGACGTAACTATAGTGGAACCGCTTTTGGTGGAACCATTAAAAAAATATATAACAGATTCTCCATCATACATTGTTTAAAAATATGGTTCTCCAAGGGTTGTTTAGTAAAGGGCATGGCTCTGTATACAACTATGTTACTCAAAGAACCATTTGCTTAAATGGTTCTTTGCATGGTGAAACTGTTCTTCAGATTAATTGAGAGTGTGCTGAATATGGTTCTATATAAAGGGTTCTTACAGGCTTGACAATATAACAAAAGAAGAATGCTTTTTGGTGCTATGTAGAACCATTTTCAAGGAAGCTCTGTACAGAATGACATACTCTGCATTCTCCATCAGCCTGTAGAACTTTCTCACCATGCAAAGAACCATTTAAACATGTGGTTCTAAATAGAACCGTTGCCTTTACTAAAGAACCCTTTTTCAAAGTTTGTAGCATGGAACGATTTGTGTGCACAATTTAAAAAGAAGGTTCTTCAAAGGTTCTTGGGGTAAAGATAATGGTTCTGTGTAGAACCATAAATACTTAAAGAACCCTTTGTATGATTAAAGGGTTCTTTGCATCGTGAAAAGGTTCTTCAGATTAATGAAAGGGTTCTATATAGAACTTTTTGGAAAAGGGTTCTTTCTATATAGCACCAAAAAGGTTTCTTCTATTGTTACAGGCTTGACCTCGTAACCATAGCTGCCTTTTTGGTGCTATATAGAACCCTTTTCCAAAAAGTTCTATACAGAGCCATCTACAGCACATTCAATTTGAAGAACACTCTCACAATGCAAAGAACATTTTAATCATGCAAAAGGTTCTTTGAGTGTTCACAGTTGTATGTAGAACCCATAATGTATCCAAATCATTCTTTGAGTGTTTGTGTTATTAAAGAACCCTCGAAGAACCTCATTTTTTAAGCTGTGCACGATCGTTGGCTGGAATGATTCGTGGTTGTGCTAAACTCCAGGTCGTGACTTCAACAAAACAAACTCTGTGCAGCTTTACCCGTGTTCACGGTTTTACCGTGTGATTCCACAATTGGTGACGTTTGTGTCCCGTTAATATTACATTTAGAAATATGTATGTAAAGCGGTTTAAAACATGGATGTTCTTCACATCGAAGGACATCAGCAGTTCGAGTTCGCCGTAAAAAGGGCGCGGTCACTTCTTTGGTTCGCGTCCTCGGATTCTTTGAACTTTGCTTTCAGACTTTTAACTGTTCTTTGACTCTGCAGCCTCGTTCTCTTTGAGCCGCATTCGGCCATTTCTTTAGAAACCTCTTCAAACACGGAGGGTTTGGATGAGTCTCTTCTAATTTTCATACAGAAAGATCACCCCAGATGTTTATGAGTCTCAGCAGCGCGAAATCATGACGAATGTAGAGTTGGATTGATGTAAAAGCCGCGTGAATTCCAATCTGGCTGTTGAGACAATTTACATTACGATATGCGGAGCATATTCACAGTACAAACCTTGTCTGTGAACTATGAGGGCAAAAAACAAAAAAAAAAAACAAAATAATCGACTGATTGATTTGAGGTCATATCACCCAGCACTAGGCACAGTGGCACAGGGTCCTTTCAGTGTGGAGTTTGCATGTTCTCCCCATGTCTGCGTGGGTTTCCTCCCACAGTCCAAAGACATGCTGTCAGACCAATTGGAGACACTAAATAGTGTGTGGGTGTGTGAATGTATATGTCTGTCTGCTCTGCGATGGACTGGCGACCTGTTCATCACAGGGCAGACAGACAGACATACACATTCACACACCTGCTTTCCGCCCAATCCCAATTGATTGTTTTTGTATTAGATGTTTTTATTTGAAGATAAATGTTACAGTCTACTGTATTATTTCACAAAAGCTCCAGAGTTTGAGGGGTGGGTGAACGTGCCCATAGGACGAGGGTTGAAAAAGCAGTCATATTTTAAATATCAAAATTGCGATTTTTATTACAGCCTACATTATTAACAATTTTGCTTTAACAAGTTCTGTGTGGGGAAATTTAACACAGAGCTTGTGAACTGTCTGTAGTATAGTCAGACCAATCATAAGTAACAAAACACCAATGCACAGGACAAGACAACCACAACTAACTAGCCACCTGGAACACTATATGTCCAGCCAGAAAAAGTGGATCTACTGGTCATCTTGGCCAGTAAACAGGCCTGGACCTTAATTTCTACAAAATGAACCGCAGTCACAATGTTGGTCAGAAAAATCACGATCAGATATTTGCCCAAATTGTTCAGCCGTTAACAGGACTCAGTTGACCAGAGGAGGGTGAATGCAGTTCTGTCAGGAACGATCAGCAAATCCACAAAAATATACTTATAATAAAAAATATACATATAATAAATACTTTTAGTGGGATTTGTAAAATAACAGTTTGTCCCAGCATGACGTTTACTTTTTTTTAAAGCACTTTAAAACTGTTATTCTTAACTCTTTCATTTCAGATCTGTTGGTGTGACGCGAATTTAGGAAGATTGGGATTGAATGTTACCTCTCTCGCGTGCCAGCGGACACCTCCCCTGTCCTGATGAGGGAAAAGACATGCTGGCCGAGGATCCACAGACCACAGTGTGCAGCAGCGGTGGAGCACATTCTGAGGGAGCTCACGGGTGACCCACTGACATGCGCACATCAGGTCAACAGTCGGCTGGATAGCAGAAAATAAAAATAAACTCAACAGACTTGGCCAGACACCCCAAAACTGTATACACAGACCTTGAAACTCTCAGCGCATGAAAATATCTAGAACTAAAAATAAAAACAAAGCTCTGACCTTTGCACATCGAGGGACACGTGCAGGATGATCACGGGAAAGTTACCGGACATTTCCACTTGACCGCTGTTCCATGTTAACGTCCCCTCCTTCTGAATTTCCGGTGGACCCCCTCCCTCCCCTCCCGGTTCCCGCGCGCCTGTCATGCTGGTGCAGGTCGCACTCCTCTCTCCGCTGCTGCTGCTGCTGCACGCGCCGGCGCTGACCCAGGGCCAGTACGACCAGTGCCGGTCGCTCGTGAGCACGGACGACGGCGCCGTGTGGGAGCAGTACGCCTGCCAGCCCAAGGCGCAGACCATGAAGGACTACATGCGAATCAGGGTGGAGCCGCCAGGCATCACGTGTGGGAACCCTCCAGAGAGATTCTGCACGCTGGTGAGTTTGGTCACCTTATGTTCCTTCTGCAAAGGCTGAATGAGCAGCTATGAGTTCTGGAATTTGTATTACTTCGTTACTTCTACTTTAAGTATATACAGTATATATGTAAGTACTTATTACTTGGTAACTGTCCCAACCTCTGGGGTTACTTTGTCCTAATACAGCTGTAATTTTACATGCCCACAAAACACGCCCACTATAAGACACTCCCACCACAATACCCTCCCACTACAAGACACTACAAGACACTTCCACTGCAGGACTCCTCCATTACAAGACACTCCCAAAAACACACCCACTACAAGATGCTTCCTTTACAAGACGCTCCCACGGCAAGACACACTGCAGGACACTTTCACTTCAAGATGCACCCACTACAAGACATTTGCACTGCAGGACACTTACACTACAAGACACACTCACTATAAGACGTTCACGCCATGAGACATTCGCACCACAAGACACACTCACTACAAGAGGCACCCAGTACAGGACACTTCCACTATAATACGCACCCACTACTAGACACTTCCACTGCAAGATGCTACCACCAAAAGACAAACCCACTACAAGACATTTCCACTACAGGACCCTTCCACTACAAGACACGCCCGCTACAAGGTGCTCCTGCTACAAGTAATGCTTGCTTTAGGATGTGCCCACTGGCCATTGTATTGGGTGTGTCTTGTAGTAGTGGGTGTGTTTTGTATTGGGGCATGTCTTGTAGTAGTGGGTGTGGATAAATTGGGGTGTGTCCTGTAAAGGTATGTCTTGTACTAGTGGGTGTGGGTGTAGGGCGTGTCCTGTAGAGGCATGTCTTGCAGTTGTGGACATTGTTTGAACCGGGGCGTGTCTTGTAGCAGTGAGCGCGTATTGTAGAAGGTGATGTTTTGTATTAGTGGGTGTGTCTTGTAGTAGCAGGGCATGTTTTTAATTTGCCTAGTAGTAGACATACTTTATGCATGATTCAAAATAGAAATGACAGGCGACCAACTCTAAGATAAAAAAGGAAAAATAAACGGAAAAAGTGGCTAAGGTCAGCAGAGAGCGAGGGCTCAGTGGGGGCTCGAGAGTTCGCATGCCGAGGTGTTGTTTACCCAGGAAGGACATGGGGCGCGCAGTAGGAGAGTTTATTCTCAAGGGCAGAAGGGTGTGCGTTTAGATGGCTCGCACACACAGAGACGGAGGATTAGTTTAAGGATTATTTCAACCATGACGTAATCATAAATGCTTTAAAATGTAACATTTTATCATTAGATAACACAAACTCAGCCTGAGTCTCACGGCATGAAGTTTTCTGAGGGGCAGCTCAGACCAAAGGTCTGGTGTCATTAAAGGTGAATTCCACAGATTTTTCAACAATTTCTGCAAAATTCAGCGACTGAGATGTAAACAAAGGTGTTCAGACTGCTTTGTAGAGAAACTTGCCTACTCAGCATTGTTTACAGTGGTGATCCAACACAAATATAGCCATTTTACATTTTACTGTTTAAAACCACCAGTGAACCTACACGTCTTCAGAGTCTGTATATGTTATGTTAGCAATGGTGAATAGTGATAAATTCGACAAACATGTTTTCTTTGGGTACTGTTTTTCTTTGCATGTAACTCTCCAGCATGAATGTATTTAAAATTACAACTGTCGATATCGCCTAAAACCATGTGACTGCCGTTCAAATGAACAAACAACTCATATTGAGTTGCTGACTTTAAACTGTTGGGCTGAATATAATTGCGAGGTATAAATGTTAATACAGTGATGTCTAAAAACTGTCTTTGTCAAATAAGCCGTAAAGAAACTGTATTGTTTTACTCATGGGCATCACCGCCTGGTTTTAGTTTCAGTGCACAGTGTGACACAAGCTAGCAAAGCTGCTGTAGCTCAGTTTTCCAGTGTGTTTGCTCAGTACTCGGGTGCGCAGCATGTTATTCTGAATGAGACAGCTTTGTTGATAATTGTCCATCATCAGAGTTGTCTGTAGGGGTTGCGTTTCACGTAGCATGTCGATCAGACGGTGCATTTTCGTACAGTGTGAGTGTGTAAATTGCAGGCTTTGTCCGTACACAGTATATACATATATTCAAAGGTACAGTGTGAGTCACTAAAGAACAACCTCTCTAAAGTCACAGAGTACCTGTCTGGATTTAGAGGACATTCAACTACAGCTCAGCCGCCAAAAAGACTCCCAAGATGTAAAACTCTGGATGTATTAACCTCGGATGTGATTTCTGCTGTCATTGTGCTACAAAGACTGTTGCTGAGAGAGACAGATGAGGATCAAAACTATGAAACATACTTTACTTACAGCTGTACAGAAGCACTTTTCTGATGTAGAACAAAATCTGCCTTTCTCCACTGCATTGCTACTCGATTTAAGGTAACTAATGTATCACAGCCAGCTAATTCACGCCAATTAAAATGAGCTAGATTATGATGTAAGTGTCAAGGTGCACTGAGATCATTTGCACTAACGACTTAATTTTAGTACACACTTAAAACCATGAACACTCAAAGAAGTCTTTGCATGATTAAAGGGTTCTTTGCATCGTGAAAGTGTTCTTCAGATTAATGGAGAATGAGCTGTAAATGCTTCTATTTGGAATCTTTTTGAAAAGGGTTCTATGTAGCACCAAAAAGGGTTCTTCTATTGATATCTTGACATCATAAAAATAGCAAAACCTTTTTTGGTGCTATATAGAACCTTTTTCAAAAAGGTTCCATATAGAAGCATTTACAGCACATTCTCCATCGTTCTGAAGAACCCTTTCACGATGCAAAGAACGCTTTAATCATGCAGAGACTTCTTTGAGTGTTAATAGTTCTACATAGAACCATCTTTTTTACTAAAGAACCCTTGAAGAAGCATCCTTTTTAAGAGTGTAGGTTAAACAGTATGTATCAGTACGGCATTGGCAAGTACTTACACTCGTTCTGAAAAAAATGGTATCAGTGTATCCCTCATTAAAACCACTGAACTCAGAGTTTTTGATGGCAGTTTGTGGCTGGGTCAAAATATTGTGATGCATATCGCTGATGTCGGAAAACCTCATATATCCAAAATGGTAACATTACAGGAGAAGGAAAAATCCTACTTTACCTTTAATGTAAGTCAACGGAACCAGACATTTTTCAAAGTCATTTTGGGCCGTTTCTTTTGGTCTGTTCTTCATGAAGTTTACAGACAATGTAAAAGAGCAACAGGCTTTTTCAAATAATGTCAAAAACTGAAAAACGGAAGTGTGAGGTTTCCATCCGACAGCAGCGATATCGTGTATTGTGAAAATGTAATATATAAGCACTATGATATGATATTTTTACTGCATCGCCCACCCCTGAAATCAGGCCATAATCCAGCCGGATTAGTAGTAAATATAACGCAATTACAGAGAAATTTAACAGCTTTCTCTTTAGTTTGTTTTTGTCTCGGCACTACACTCGTCAAGTTCATGTGGTTAATGGTGGAATTTTGCAGAAAATTTGGTGGAATTCCCCTTTTAAATGGACCAGACCTACTACTGGGGGTCCTTTTAAACTTGTATTACACACTTCAACAGCTTGAGAACTCTGTTCACATTGTAGTCCACATATTTACTGGATAATAAGCTTGAATATTAAGGATGTAATGTTGTCATAAGAAGGCTGGGATTTTAAAGGGTTAAACAAATATTAGTGTTGTGGGAAAAGAAGTAATACAGCGCTGATTACTCTCAAAATCAAATTATCCAGAGAGTCTTATGCGTGCACAGATGCATGTACAACACGCACTCACACCCTCGCGCACACACACACACACACACACACACACACACACACATTCAGTAGAAAGCTGAAAATGGACACAGCTCACAGATACTTAGTGGTAATGATCTGTTTAAAACTACAGGAAAAGCTGATTCAGGGAAAAAGCTTTGCTCTCACACACACACACACACACACACACACACACACACAGACCTAGAATTACATACACACTCCAGTGAACCTTCTTCAGTAGCCCACTGCTCTCTTCATACCACTACGAAAAACAAAACTTGCTCACTGAATACTTAAGACATTTATTTCAACCCATTATGGAAAAACAAAACCCCAGCAAGCAAAAGCACCTGCACACAAACACACACACACACACACACGCTATAGTGTTCTGTATTGATGGAGCAGGCCGCTAATGGACTGGGCTCTAGAATGTTCCTCGGGTCTTGCGGAGCTCTGAAATATTGATGGGGTCCTTAATGGCCCGGTACACGGGGCGTCCGCTCCGCTCCCGAGCCTTCTCCACAGCACTCTGGACGAGAGCAAGACAGACAGGCCGGTCAGAGTCAGCAGATTAGCCCACACAGGACTCTACAGGAGCCCTTCATCAATCCAGACTTCTGTCATCTCTCAGTCCATCCGTTCATCCCTTCATTCGTTCATCAGGTCATGCCTAAAGTCCCAGGAGCCAGTGTAGGACAGGCAGAAGGGGTCTAAATCTCAGACGTCCCAAATATTTAATTTGGTTATGAATACGGTTCTTTAGGGAAAGATTCGGTGCGTTATGAAATTTCAAACTTCAACACCATTAAATTCATCTCTCTTCGAAATTACACTGAATACACAAATGTGACCGGAGGAACAGTTAAAATGAAAACAATACACCAGGCTCGGCCTGTCACAATCAAGAAATTGATTATTAATTGCAATCAGCGATTTAATTTACCTTTTTTTTCATTGTATGCAACTATCAAAGTACGATCCTAACGTGGGGAAATTTATTGACTACCTATTGTGCTTATTAGCTTTCGTTAATATGTAGCTTACAACTGAAGCAGATATAGCTCAGCTCAAATAAACAAACATCACTCACTGCTGACCTTCTGTTCTTAACAAACATCAAATAAACAGACAATACTCTCCCGGTCTGAGCCTGACGGGGCCGATAGAATATGGGGTTTCGGGCTAAATTTGGGCCAGTTTTTCACACATAACATCAGACTCTGATTATTTTTAAATTAGT